TTTGTCAGGCTAACTGCTGCTGTTTGGTCCTTCGTGCCATATACTCTTGAAATGGACTTTTGCAGATGCGAGCTGACGGATGTTATGCTGGAGATGGACCGCATCCTTCGTCCCAACGGAGTTGTAATTGTTCGCGATCTTGACTATGTRGTTGAGAGGGTGGCCAATGCCGCCAAGCTGATGCGCTGGRATTGTCAGTCTTTCTCTGACGATAGTCGTTCAGATGTTTCCGAGGAGGTCTTAGTTTGCAGGAAGGAATTCTGGACGATCTAGAAGATGAGCGGCAGGCGTCTCGTGCTGGACGCAGGTTGCCGAAGCGGCTGTCGACCCTGCTTAAAGCGCGGTGGTCGGCTGATTCAGGCGAGCGTAGAGCAAGGTAGGAGTTGTAGACAGACCCATTGTTGTTACCTGCTGGTTTCCCTCTTCTCTTATTTGAGAAGTTTCAATTGGGAATGAGATGAAAATGCTAACTTTCGCGAATGTTTCATTACTTCATCATGTAGGACTCTCTGTATCCCTTTACCGTGGAGCAAATTAGGAGGGTTTCACTTCGGAAGGCGCTGGTACTCAAGCGTCAAAGCAGTCTATGCTACGTGGTGTATTCTGTGTCAGGATGACGCCGGAGTCATCATCATAAATGATGTGAAACACAACAGAGTTATGGGTAATTTGCAGGGAGGCCCACTTCTCCTGGGCGGAAATCGGGCTTAGGTGGCAGGTGCGACAAGGCACTTCACCGGTGGAAGGAAATAAAGCTCGTGGGAGTTCGTGGTGCACGCAAGATCATCGGCAAGAGAAGAAGAAAGTGATGCCAACACGAACACACGAGAGAGACCCTACGCACATTTCAGCCGGTCCCCAGCTTGGGATCATCAGGGGTGAGAAGAACATGGCTAGGATGGGTAAATCATGAAGAATCTGGTGAAAAACGATTCGGAGCACGTGGCTATTGCGGGCATGGTGTGTAAGTGTCCGAATCGCACGGCTTCTGCAGGAGTCATGGTTGTGACTGTCATATTCCCGATTGCATGTGGATAAGGAACAGAACGAGGGGTCTTATCAGGTGGTGATGTTCATCTCTTCACGGTACAGTTATGTGCACTCGTGTACAGCAGACGATTTGTTGTAATGGAGGAGCAGGTGGAGCCCGGCCGTGGTTATGGTGAATGCTGTCGATTCGACGGACATGTGGAAATGCGGTCCAGGCAAAATGCACACGTGCGTCTTTATATGCGTGCAGCGATGGGGATTTTCTTTTCGTGTTGGAAATTGATCCATTTTCGAACGTCGCTGGGGAGGGCGTTGATATATTGCGTGTTGTATGTAACCCATTTAACAAGTTGGCCAATTCCGATTCTTCAATTTTTGGTAATGAACAGAGCCTTGATGGGAGAGAGAGTGCGTAAGTTTTTAAAGCATTTTTTCGTTGTTCCTTTGGGTTTCCTACCCTTGCCTCATTTGTGGGCTTTTTTGACCGGGATATGGCTTTGCATTCTGTTCTTTTTCCCCTTTTTTTTTCTCGTTTTGATCTCCGGAAGCGGCTGTGGTTTTCTCGTGCCGATCTTTGTTCAATGGATTGAAAATGGGGTTCGTTTTTTTTTTATAGTTCTCAATGTTAAAACAAAAAGAAAAAGAAAGAGAGTTTTCAACTTTCTCAAGCAGCAGAGGTTGCGCCTAACAATGTTGGTGTGTACTGTGCATAATGTCCTTGGGAGAAGTTGTTGATGGACGTAAATAAAGGTCGTGGAAATTCCAGTCGCGGGTGGTGTTCTGATGTGCTTCTTGATCGTTTACATGTTCTGTTAGCCATGGTTGGCATCGTTGTTGTCATCGTCATTGACAGGAGTCAGTGTAACTTGGGGGCTCGCTCCACTAAGCATTCTACATGTATACGGACCACGTTGTGGATGGGATGTGTGTTCGGACTGATCAGACATTTGAATTTTTTTGGGAAGATTCCGGCTCCAGATGCATTTAGAATCTTGGTCAGCAATGAGAGGCCCTCGTTGTTGGTTGTCGTCGTCGTTGTTGTTGTTGTTGTTGAAATCTGTTGCGCTGTCGCCTTGTTATTCTTGCGGTTGTTGCAGCCTGCCTTGTTGTTCCTAGTTTTGTGGTCTTTGTGCTGAACTTCTTTTTCTCTGATATTTGACATTTGAGGGCTAAGGGCCTGCCTGGCGGCACCACTTGCCAAACGCTAACATTATAGTCCCGATGCGTTCAAGATATGGGCATTTGGCAAAGGGGGTGGGGAGGCACATAAAAGTGCATGGGCACCTGTATCAAGGGGGATGCTTGCGGGGGTATTCCCAGAGGTTTTGTGGATGCATCTGGTCTTATGGATGAGAAAGATTCAAGAAAATCATACCGTGCAGGTACTGTAGTCCGTGTCCTACCGTGTGGGACTCCAGCTCTTCGGATCAGAAGATATAATTAGACGAGGAAGTCCGCTGTGAGGTTCCTGCATTGCATTGAAGAAGTAGGGACATATATACGCACTGGGGACCTTTGTGGATATGGCGAACGCATGTTAACCATAATTGCGGTCAGATTTGGGCAGAAAACCCCTAGGGTGGTGAGTTTACCGTCATCTCTGGTTGCAGAGCAAAGGTCAGTTCGGGATGTGTGCATAGAAAAGGCCCCAACTCCACTGCACAAGCCTGTATATGTATCACGGGGGAATAATGATCCTGATTCAGTCCACATTTTCGATCAGGTCAAATGCATGTGGTCAGGACGTCTGTCCAGAATCCAGATAAATGTAGAATTTCATGTAGTGGAGCCACTGTAGCAAAGCACGAGGTGATGCTTCGCGCGATCGAAGATGGGGATCATTACGACGTTCGTTTGGAGGGGAAATTCTCTGCACTGACAGGGTGGGTGTGCTTGGATGACATGTAATAACCTCTCCTAAAGTGCTCTGTGATCGTTTGTCTGCGAAGCTGTTGTGATGGAAAGGCATGCATAAATAAGCACTAGACGGCATTTCACTTTTGCCACTTTTTGAACAGGCAGATTACCATAAAAATATTAAAAAATAGATAACTGTTTAACCGCTTGTAATTTTTGTGAAAATTCACCGGCATTGTTTGTTTTATTTCGAGCCTTCAAAATATTTTGTTTTAGCTTTTGAGTAAGTTCTTTTGTTTGCCAAACATTTTCCAAGATCCCGGAAAAGGAACGGAATGGCGACAAGCATCAGCTTCTGACCATTTTCTGGACTGCAAAGCAAGGGGATATACTATGTAAAGAGTTTAAGAAGGTGACCCGATGGAATAGTGCTCGTCTGTGGGATACAATGTAAAGAGTTTAAGAAGGTGAACCAATGGAATAGTGCTCGTCTGTGGAATTTTACATCGCTGAATGTTAGACAATGGTAAACAAAGTGAAGGTGTTTTTCGTTGCTAAGTTCTGAAATGCAATTTTGTCCAAGAAAAAGCACTGCACTGCTTATTTTGGTATCTCTCTTTCTCTCTGGGTGCTGTTGTTTTCTGCTTTGCTCCCGTCTGCACGATTTCGAGGGTCGAGGGTTGAGGCCTCGCTGAGCTTCTCACCTCATGTGAGTTTCGCAGTGACTATCACCACCACACTAACATTGCCTCAGGGGGGGGGTGGGGGGTGTACCACCCCGGTCATGGAATTGCCAGGTCTGCAGAGGGTCAGTTGTGGTGGGTCCTCACCGCTGTCACCATGAGGCATTAGTGAACCCCGACCCGGCATCATGTGGTCTGGAGGCAGGTATTGGCACTCGCTCACACGAAAGTGCATGAATCCGGATGTTATTCTGCACTCGATGCATGAACCGCGCGGGTCGAGTGAGCGCAGCGGTGATGCTCACCTTTCAGAGTGAGTATCGCCACCGCGCTCACTCACCCTGCTCATTTGAAATAGAAGCAAAATATGAAAACATTGCGCCTCTAAGAGGTGGGTGGGTACTCACCCCGTCATGGTGTTGCCCTGCCTGCAGTGGGTCAGTTGTTGTGGGTCCTCACTGCAGTCACCATCCCCCGGGTGGTGGTGTCAGTTCACGACTGCACATCACTCCCAGCTCCATGCTGGGTCCACCTGGATGGTATTCCAGGCCGATGCATGCACCAGCGGGGTGAGTTGAGGACTGCACATCACTCACCCCACGGCACTGGTCTGGGCTCACCTGGGGTGAGTAGTAGTTCTTCGGCGTGGCGTGGAGCAGTGAGTCCCTTGGGCTAGTACTCGTTTCGCCAGGTTGGCTCGGGTGAGCAGTCCTGCAAGGTCCTTTATTTGACAGACCTGTGAGCAAATAGGGACGGAATGGAAACATGTTAGAGCTGCAACGATCTTGACGGTGCTGAGCAGGATACATAGAGGCATACCCTGACTTGCTTAGCTACATACATGCTGCCTTTGCTCACGACACTTTGAGCAGCTCAGGTCGCATTGATATCTTCTGTCCTTTGTGGTCTTGAACTTCACATGCAAATGCACAGGTGCTGGCCAGGTGATTGAAGAGTTTCATGAGGCCTTCGATTTCCGTGGAAGCTTGCAGATTTTGCCCATCATTGCATTTGCTAACACATGGTGTTGTAACGGAAATCCCACTTTTTTTTTTTTTTTTTTTTTTTTTTTCAGCTCCTCCTTAATGGAGTCACAAACTGAAATTAGGTTTCCTTTCCGCGGACAAAGGTCCATGGTCGAGTGGTTTGCACTTTGAAGAGTGAACGGCAGTGCACCAGACAACAAGTGCTGAATTAAGGGCGGGAGGGGCTGGAATCCATGGCATGGTCAAGGCCACCATCTTCACTGGAATCGAACGCCCGGACTAAAAGCTTGGATTGGGCACGGGGACCCCCTGCTGAGCGGTGATCGGTTGAAGCGTGCAGGGGTGAGGACTGTCCTTCCCTCTTTCTGTTCCTTCATAATTTGTGGACAACTACTAGAATATTGAGATCTTCTTGAACAAATACTAGAATTTGAAATGACCACGCGAGGAATCCGAAAAACTGCTAAATGAGGAGAACGACTTAAATGTCCACCCATCACCCACTCCCTAACCAACCTCTTCCACCGTGGAAGACGAAACTCCTCGACCCTACCCCATCTGCCTCCACCAAGGGTTAATAGACAGACTCCCAACTCCACCCCCAGAATAGGACAACCGCCAATTACTGCGCTTACCGCCTCCAGACACAGGACTTTCCTCAAAGATGTTACATCCGTAGAATAGGACTCTCGATGTGCCGGCTACTAAGTGACCACCGAAGGAGAACGAGGTCTCGCCACATCGCCCCTGAAAATCACGCCCTTCTCCCCAGAGGACAAAACATTCCTCCTGTCCAGGACCTGGCCCCTCTGCAAGGGTCCACCCCTCTCCTCATCAGCCCTGGGTCAGGACAGGCGTGATCGATCGGTCACCATCGCTCCCTCGTGCGCATACGTATCTCTTGGAACAGCAGTTCCCTTGTTCCCTCCATCCCAACCCCTCCAAATGCGACACCCCCCTGAACACCAACCCTCGCTGAATAAGCGTCCCTTGTCTCTCTGCCCCCGCCTGGAATGATCAGCATCAGCTCCAGTCCCAGAATAGAGCAACCCCGTTATCCGGCCCTACCCTCTCGAAAACACACAAGTCCCACGTTGTATAGTCCTCGCAGGATAGGCCTCCCATCCTCCGGGCCAAAAGGCCCGACCCTGAAGGAGATCCTTCAGGGTGAACCGTGCACCTTGAAACCCTCGCCCAAATTGCGCCGAAGCAACAAATATAATCGCAAAAAATATACAATCATCATGAACAATTGCATAAAAAAATTGCAGACGCTATTCTGGGAAGATAACCGAACGGACCAAACACAAACCTCCGCCGACGCAGACGAATCCAATGGAGGGCTGTTCCACCTTGCCCTGGCTCCGGCCAGGCTGGGTTACAGGGTTGTGCAACCTTTCCCCGGCTCCCGCCACCATCGCTCCAGCATTGGCCCACTGAGTTCAGCTTAAAAAAAAAAAAAAAAGAGAAAAGAACAGGGGAGGATATATTTGTCAATAACTACTGCCCGGAACCCCCTGCGTCATCCGAATGATTCAGAGAAAAATTATCTAATTTATTTGCTTCGCCCCCCCCCCACACACACACTCCCAACGACTAAAACCGCCTACCGGAAAATTGTAATACAAATATGGTCCTATTATATGGTCGAATTTGGTTAAAAGTCAAAACCTAAAACTTAAAAAAAGAATCTCGGGAACCCGAAATTGAGTTTAGCCTTATAGAATAGAATTTGATTTGAGTAAACTATCAATCAGGATTTGATAGTAAGAAATTGGAATTAGGAAATGCCTTACGATGGTAATTACAGAAAAATGCCAACGCTCAAATCTCTGAAGTTAGGAATTTAGGAATTTACTGATTTAGGAATTTATTTGAGATTTTAGAATATAGAAATTTGAATTTGTAAATCGGGAATTGAAATTCAAGAAGGGTGGAATTCAGAATTACTACGAAAAGCGATCAATCAGGAACCGCCTAAACCAGTTTTGACAACGTTAGCTAGGAGTATATGATCACAGACCGCCTACGACTAAATCAGTTGTGACAAACACTATCTACCAACAATCGCCGCCTACGAGTAAATCAGTCGTGACGAACACTATCTCGGACGGGATAAATTATGTGTTCACCGCATGGTCCTTTCCCACCATGTTCTTTTCGCCGCCGCCAGACCCCTAATATGTTGGGGATTAGATCAGTGCTCCAGAGTCTATCACAGACAGCCAGTCGTGAAG